GAACTAACAAGCAATCCCATATAATCCATTTTAATCACGACCCATCATCAAAATCACTCCCAAACTCACATAATCACCATTAGGTTGGGTTTCACCCAACCCCTAGCTAAGGAACTACTCACACATCATATTGAAAAGCACAAAATCAAAATCTAGGGTTCCATCGTGCTCAACAAACTTGGAATAGTAACTTACTAAAAATAGAACCAACATTCAACAACAATCATCAAAGAACTAAAAGGGATTCAAATAACAAGGTATAGCATGATAAATAAGAAAACAAGTAAAGTGGAAGAGAAAAGTTACTAAAATGAAGCTTCAAAATCTTGATTACAAATGTTGCCAAATCTTGATAATAATCTTGAATACTAGTACAAAGATGTCAAAGTTGATGAAATCTAAGCTAAACTCTTAAGAAAATTGTTTTAGACCCAACAAGGGGTGATATTACAAGACTTTCTCTCTCTAAAATCTGGATACCCTCATAAATGAGGCAATTAGTCTATTTATAATAGTCCAAAACAAAGGGGGCGGAGAGAACAAGAAACTGCTTCTGAAATAGATCGGCACGGGCGTGCCAAACACTGCACGGCCGTGCAGAAGGGTTAGAAGAGCTGAAAACTGGAGCAGGGGCCTGGCACAGGCGTGCCAAATATGGCACGGGCGTGCCAGTGCGTGGCACGGTCGTGCAGCCAAGGCAGAAACTTCAACGTTATCAGCAGATATCTTGCACGGGCGTGCCATCATCAAGCACGGGCGTGCAGCTTTCAGCATGGGCGTGCAGCTTTCAGCACGGGCGTGCAGCTTTCAGCACGGGCGTGCGAATTCCAGCACGTCCGTACAACCATCACAGAGGGCTTTTCCAATCATCAAACTTATTCGCACGACCGTGCCAAGCATTGCACGACCGTGCACAGCCCCAGGAGGTCTTCAAATGAAAATCTTGCCTAGCCAAAGAATGTTCAAGGCCATGGCTTCTATCCCAACCATCGGGATGTCCCGTAGGGGTCCAAGCATCCCTGAAAGTGCATCAAAACACTAACAAAACCCGTGAAGCATGACAAATATGACGAAAGTGCGGAAACAAAGCGATAAGAGAGCAAAAATGGCTAGAATATGGCAATAAGTGAGCACTAAATCACCCTAAAACCGCGCAACTAAAGTACGCTGTCAAATCCCCCTAAGCTGGACTTTTGCTAGTCCTCGAGCAAAACATATACAGTAGAGATGAGGCAAGAACTACGAAGACTACATAACATGGCAAGGCATTAAAATCACATCAAATCTCAAAAACGGGAAGAATGCTTGATTCGGACTCACAAGAATAAATAAACGCCAAAGAATGCTAGCCCTTTTCTCAAATAAACGAAAGAAAACACGACCTAAGATGCCCATGGTTGAAAGAAACAAATCTAAACCAAGCATAGAGAACTAGTGATTCATTCTCACCCTAGCCCCATCTAAACAGTCCGCGTCCTCCCCATTAGTATCAAATTATCCCTTTAGCTAGCTCCTCATGATTCCACGAAGGAACCGGAAAAAGATTCAAATATTTTGAGGAAATAACGAAGATATCCCGACATCTCAATTACGCATGATCTCTCTATAGGGTTGAAAATCATCTCCCTCCACCGGTCTATAGGCCACACACCTCTAAAGTCTAAGGGCCCTACAAAGGTTGAAATGAGTTAGCAAAGGGTAAAGGTAGGAGAATTCAAATTAAAATATTAGGGGTGTATCCTAAGTGAAGCAAATGAGTCGTCACCCTCAAAACAAAACTCAAGAAACGCACCAAATCACAATTGAATAAGCATAACCTTGAATATGTCACACTACCAACTTTATTAAATCTAAACTCAAAACAAACCCCATTTTCTTGAAACTTTATTTGATGTCCTTGCCTTTTTTTTAAACTTGGGACGACTTTTTTTTTCATAGAAATACAAATCGACATTCACATTGCAATCTTTCTTTTCTTTTCTGCTTTGCAAAGCTTTCTTACATTGCATTTTCACATTCAAATTCAGCTTTCAACCCCTTGTTTTTTTTTTTATAATTTTTTATTTTTTTTAGATCCAAATCATCAAAACACAATTCTTGCTTATAAGCAATCCGCTCAAATAACAGCCCAACGAGCCAAACGCTTCATTACTAAAGGGTCGGTGAAACTTCAGTCATTAGGGTTGTAATGTGGGTAAACAAGAATGGGAAATATAAGGCTCAAATTGGCTAGCAAGTAGGTTGATGCAAAATAGAAAATCAATTTGTAACTAAATAAAAAGAAGTAAAATGAAGATGAGAATATGCCCTTTTCCTCCTCTGAAGGTGTTAAGTCACGGTCTTGGGGGCTAAAAATCAACACAAAGATCAACACATGCGTAATCAAGGATCCAAAAGTGTCGCTCAACAAGAATGATGAAGGCTAGAACAATTAAAACCTCACAAGGGATGAAGAAAGTTAAGCAATTACCAACCAAAGGGTTTAAATCTACTATAGGGAGCAACTCCATCTTACCACAAACCCATGAACTAAGGTTTCAAATGATCTCAAAAGTTCTAGCCTAGCTACCTTAGCTAAATCTCTTCTATTTCAACCAAGGGCACTCTCAAACCGTGCAATCCATCATTGACACAAGAAACAACAAGCATTCTAAGGCACAATCATTGCAAGAATCAAGTCCAAATACATGAGCAAAAATCCAAAACCAAATACATCATCTTGCCATATCATGCTCAAAACTAAGAAAAGCCAAAACAAAGGAAAATAGGAAGAAATCAAACGGTTCACAAAGAGGCATATATATCCAAGTAAATCCCAATCGACAAACAATGATCGTTGATATCAACATCAACGATCCCAGCTTCATTAGAACCAATCAAACATCCTCGAACCATTCAACTCCATCCTAAAACTATCCTAGACTAAGCACACCAAAGAAATAAAAACTAAAAGAAAGGTCTCACCAAATGCTCTTGAAGGCACAACCAAGCAACCGTATCATTTGACGATTCTCCAAATGTTGCTTTTATGAATCTTCAAATCTACACAATGAGATGAAAACAATCCAAAACAAACACTAGACAAAGAAATAGGTTAGAAAAGGAAAAGGAAAAATAAAAGCTAACAATATATATACTTATTTTTTTTTACAAGAAGCAACTATGGAGCAACAATTCACCCCCCCAATCTAGTATAAACATTGTCCTCAATGTTAGACATCAAGGAATTGAGAGGGAAAAAGGGGTATACCTCAATGGCTAGGGCCACCGCCTTGGGAGCTCGGTCCCGGGTAGAATTGGCGGTAAACGGAACGGAAGTCGTGAGCTCACCATGAAGACGATCGAAGCTATCCCTCATGGTAGTGAAAGCAAGCGTCATGTCTTCATTAGACTTCCTAACGCTCTCGTTGGACAGCCGTAATCCCTCAAAATCCGTGCGGAGGCCTTGAAAACCTTGTTGTAAGTCGTCAAAGCGCTGCTCATAATTAGATGAGCTACTCCTAGCCTCCGGCATTGGGGAATCAGACCCTTGCCTAAATTGTTGCTGGCCTTGCTGCTATTGGGGTTGCTCCTCCCCTTGGCCCTGATCATCACCACCACCACCATCATCATCATCATCATTATCATCATCATCATCACCATCGCTGTCACCGTCAAAATCAGGAGCGAAGAGCCAATTTTCGGGATTGTAAAGGACTGTCTTCTCGGGATTTAGGAGATATGCATAGGACTTGCCTCCCACAAGCCACAAGAAACAATCTGTAATCCCCCATACAATAGGTTATTCAAAGGCTTGCCTTTGAAAATAGGAGAGGCTGTTATTCCATCGAATCTTATTGAGTTCAACTTGGGGGACTTGGATGTCATTCTGGGGATGGACTGGCTAAGCTTATACAAAGCTAAGATAGACTGTGGGATACAGAGAGTGCACCTGAGTGATCCTTTGGGTAAGGTGTCCTATAGACGTTTTAGGAAGTCGGGAGAGTATTGGGATCATTTCTGCTTTAAAGGTTAAGAAGTTGGTGAGTAAGGGGTATCCATTGTACTTTTGTTGTGTCCAAGATTTGAGTAAGGGTGAGAATAGGCGGATTGAGGATGTACCCATTGTGAACGAATTTTTAGATGTCTTTCCGGATGAGATTTCGGGGATGCCACCTAAAAGGGAAGCTGAGTTTGCAGTCATGCCTTTTATGTACCTGATGAACCGAGTGTTTCGTGAATACTTAGATAAGTTTGTGGTTGTGTTCATTGATGACATATTGGTGTACTCGAGGAATGAAGAAGAACATGCTCAACATTTGAGAATCATTCTGGAAACTCTTAGAAGTAACAAGTTGTATGCCAAGTTTTCAAAGTGTGAGTTCTAGTTGGAAAATGTTGCTTTTCTAGGGCACTACTTTTCCTAAGGAGGGTGTATCAGTAGATCCTGCAAAGATCAACGCAGTAAGTGAGCAGCCTACTTCTAAGAATGTGGCTAATGTTCATAGTTTCTTGGGATTACCAGGGTATTATAGAAGGTTCTTAAAGACTTTTTGAAGATGTGAAGTTAGTGAAGGTCCTTTGGTCTAATCATGAATACGAAGAGGCCACTTGGGAGGCCGAAAAAGAGATGAGAAAGAAATACCCCAAGTCTTTTGACGAGGTGATTTACGAGGGCGTAACTCTTTTCTTTTAAGAGGGGTAGAATGCAGTGTGATTTCGCGTTTTACCTCATTTATGCCATTTATTGCTTTAAGTTGCATGAACTTGCTTATTATTCCCAAGTATTGTTGTGTTTGCATGCTAATAAAGTACGTAAACTTTGGGCTAAGTACGAGTTATCGAGTATGAGCTCAATTTGTTAGGCATATATGATTGAGAAACAAGCAATTTACAGCAATACAAAACGTAATAGTATTGAGAAATTATGGATTTTGGGTTAAGTTTCGGGGACGAAACTTCTTTTAAGAGGGGTAGATTGTAATCCCCCATATTTTTCTTAGTAAATAATAATTATATACTTTTATGTATACGAATATTTTTTAATAATTTTATGTTTATATAAAAAATATTTTGGAAAGATTTCACAAAATAAAAACGAATTACTTACTTTGGGCCATGACTACCATTCTAACAAAAAAAAAAGAGCCCATACCCTCATTTTTAATTAAGTAAACTTCTTCCCCAAAACCTCCTATAAACCCACCTACTGCTTCCCCTACTCCCTTTCCCTTGTTTCCCTACTTCATTCACGAAACACACAAAAAAAATAAAAATAAAATAAAATTCGCTGCTACTGTCGCCTGCGTGGCTGCTGTCGCCGCTGCACTGCTGCTGCCACCGGCGACCCGTCGCGGCTGCCCGAACCACCAGCCGGTTTCCCCTCACTTCCCTTCTCTTCTATCTTCCTCTTTTCTTGTTTTAATTTCTTTAAAAATTTAATCTTTATATGAATTATTGATTTAATTATGCATATACATGATGAATATTGCAAATTTATTGAGTTATGTTGAGAAATTGTTGAGTTTATGATATACTAAGTACATGATTATTTTCAGATTTTATTAATTACGAAATTAGGGTTTAAAAATCGTGATTTTTGCAATGTTTTGGGCTTAAATCGTGAATAATTGATTTAACTAATTACTTTGTATTTAAATATGGTTCTACCTTTAATTTTCGATGGTTATATGTAATTTTTAGATTTTCAGAAAAGCTGATTTTGGGTTTTAAATGTCGATTTTTCATGATTTGGGGGTTTAAAACGTGAATGATTGATTTAATTACTTACCTTGTGTTTAATTATGATCCTAACCTTAAATTTTGATGAGTATAATAATTTTCAGATTTTTAAGAAAGCTGAATTTTTGGGTTCAAAGTAGGAAGATTAAATTATTTGATTATAGTATGTATAAAATTATGTTTAAATTCAATTACCTTGATTATAAACTAAATTTCAGATTTCAAATTATGTATATGCTAGGGTTTAAGTTGTGAAATTTGAAGGTTTAAGTGGGTACTTATGAATATAATTGAATTCTAATTATATATTCCAAGTTTAGATATTTGTATCCCTATATTCTACTACTAAACTAAAATTTCAGATTTTAAACCCAACTTTAAATAGCTTTAAATCATGGTTTTATGATGGATTTTCAAGTTTTCAACATACTAACATGCTATAGAATGATTATTTCAAATGAAAATGTTTATGCGGTTGTTTTATAATTTTAAACTAAATTTTCATATTTATAATTTTACTTTAAAGTGCTGAAATTTTATGCTATAAGCTATACTTTTATGATTTTAGCATATGAACTCATAGTTCAAGTACTAAATTATTAACTTTGGCTATTGGGAATAATTTAAGAGTATTATTTCAATGATTTATAGGATTTTAAAATAGTTTGGTATTGCTGTAAAACAGTTTGCTTGGGTATTAATTGAGCTATTGTTGTTTTGTTTAGAGAGGACTTCATAGAAGGTGACTTGTAGCCTTAAAGTGGCCAACCAATTTGTGTACTCAAGGTACGTACATAAATACGAGGAACCCTGATTTAGGAGCATGCTTAGGGACTTGGAAAAACCTAGAATCATGCTAGGGAACTTGTGGATTGGTTGACATTGTTTGGTAATGAGTTGATTGATGATAAATGTGATGATTTCTTTAATTCATGTATGAGAAATTGCATTGATTTTTCCTTATGAGCATTATTTATGCAATACTTTACAAGGAGAGCTTAGAAGCAAAACTACAAGTATACATATGGAATGAATCATTTTAATTACTTATTCATTTGTATTGAAATGGAATGAGTAAAGGTAGAGTTAAAGTCTTATAAGACAAGATTGTGGATATGAGGTGCCTTATGCATTTAAGGGGTTTATACACCGAGGTAGTTAAAGGATTCAATAATAAATGATGTTTGTCACTGATAAATTAAGAATTGAATTGGAAACTTGAATGATTTGAATGATTGATGTATGATTGGTTTTGTTGTTTGCATATGAGTCATCACCAAATTTAAACTGGTAAATCACGTAAAGTGCAAGAAGGATGAGCAATAAAACTCTGGATTTGTGCACATCTAGAGTAATGACAATCAGGGGTTGGGGTTCACGGGGTATTAGCCGTGCACTTTTCAGAGGCCGTCTGCTCTACGAGTCTCTTGTTTAAATTCTTTTAAATTATAATGAGTTAGATGAGATCTCATACTAGCTATGGCCACGGAGTCGCGCCCGTCTGCCATTGGATGTTTATCAATGTCTCCGAAAGGAGGCATAGGGTTTTCTTATTTAATGTTCCGTAATAGAGCACAGGGGGACAACCTGGTCTATTGCTTAATCCAATCAATTATTGAAGTGATCAATGCTATTTAAATAAAAACTTAGTAATGAGTAACTATTGAGTCATGTGTTCGACTCAATGATAATATTGTGAGTGTATGGAATGCTTGTTAGTATCATGCTATGACTCTTTACTGTATTTCATAGTTTGTATGTACTTAGCGTTGCTGATCGCGTGCTTTTGTGTGTTTTCTTTGGTCATGGCCTTCGCCTTCAATGACCCTGTAATGATCCAATCCTTACACTTGTAATATTGGGGAGCAGATTCATCACAGGTTTTTGGCATAAACTGAAATTACATCAGGGTGATGGGAATTGAGTGGAGCGTTGGTTAATTACTTAGCTTATTTCACTTCATAGACTGAGTTTATTTTGACTATAATTTTACTTCCTATTTTATTTGGATTTTGAATAAGGGCCTTTATGGTTCCAACTTGTAAGTCTAAAGCCTGATTTTGGTTTTTAGTTTCAAAACTTATATCCTTTTCTTTTTTTTAAAAAAAAAACTAAGTTAGTTTTCCGCTGCTGATTTCTGAAACTAGCCTTAACGTTTTAAGACGTGGCGGTAGCACTCCAATAATTCTCTTACAGGTTTTACAGGTTTTACAGGTTTTACAGGTTATACAGGTTTTACAGGTTATTACAGGTTTTTACAGGTTTTCTTTTAGAGAGAATTATTGGGGTGTTACAATATCCTCCTCTTGGGTCTCCTCTAGCCATTGCATGGCCTTGAGAGCCCTCATGTCAAGCCGGGTTGGCCCCGGTAAGATCTCTTCACCTGAAAAATCAAGGTGAAAGAAAACAGCAATAATGGTAATCATTCCCCCAATGGTGATCACCCCACCCCCTTTGTCAACATCCTCTAGGTGGTCAACCAACCAAGCCCCTAAGTCAAGTCTCCCATCCCCCTCACTAAGGTGCCATAGGAAGAGAAGCTCTCTACTAGAGACAGCTCCGGAGCTATCCCCCCTAGCGAAGATGGTAAGGGCTTTGACCTTTGAGCAAGGCGGAAAGCGGGGTTTACAATCGAAGAAGCCTTATCCGACCTAGGATTCCTGTTGGTTCTACCGGTGATCTTTTGCCAAAAGGCACCCGGGAAGAAGTTTTTGGATGTCTTATCCTTAGGCCCAAACTTGCCACCCGATCGCCACCTAAAAGCCGTGTTCACTTGCTCTATGGTCATTTTATGGGGTTGGTTCATCAACTGAAAAGTCATATACCGCGGGGAGAGGGCGGTGTCTTGGTGCACATATAAAGAGGATAAAAACTCAAGTGTAAGTCTTCTATATGTGCTTGCATGTAAGTCTAAACAAGTCTCCATCCTAGCATACGAAAATAGATGCCTCATATCCCCTTCAATCCCTAGAGCATTCCCTACCGAAGGGTCATAAAATCTCGTGGGTCTCATTTTTCGCTTGCTTATCCTAAGGAAATTGGTCATAAAGTCCGGATTATTAAATTCAATCCCTAGGGTATCCACCTGTGGTGGAGCAACGGAGGGGGAAGGTTGGGTACGGGATCTTTTGTTAGCGTTAGAAGCATTCTTTCGACGAGACATGATGAATTGGGTGATGAACTAAGGCTAAAGAAAACAAATTCCAACAATAATCAACTCAAACACCAAACCAATCACAAGAACCCTAGACAACAATCAATTACTATCACAAACACCAATAATCCAACAATTTGAAACAAGGTTAGCAAATATATATATGAATATCAAAAATCAAAGTGAGTAAAGAGATTGAAGTGAGTATACCAATGCTTAATGTGGGTGAAAAACCCACAAATGAACTCCAACAACGCTCCTTTACACTTGCTAGACCTTCTTGCTTCACCAATTCCTCCAAAGATGCAAACTTGAAAAACCCCCAAATTTGAAGTTTGAAAGTTAGGGTTTGAAAAATATGGCTAGAAATTCGAATTTGAGAGGAAAAGGATGAAGTAGATTGATGAATATTGATGGGAATGATGATAGAAAGAGATTTGAAGAGGAAAGTTTGAAGATTTGTGGAGTTTTGATGGGGGATTTGAAGGCTTCAAGGGGGATTCGAATGGGTAGAGAGAGAAAGTTTGAGTGAGTGTGAAAAAAGGAGTGAGGGGAAAAAGGGAAGTAAAAAGAAAAGCCTTGAAATCACAAACTGCTCGAGTGGCACGGGCGTGCAGGATCCCCGGCAACGGCGCCATTTTGACAAGCGCTAAATCGGTCGCACAATCTAGGCTAGGTTAAACACATTTATAACAAACACCTCACTCAAACAAGTACAATGGCAAGCAAGGGTTCGGTCAACGGAGAATGGGAATCAATTGCTAAATAATCTTAACGCTCAAGCTAAATCGAAATCAAGGTATAAGTGGTGATTAACTAACAAACTACAATTAAGGATTAAATTCAAGGGATTAAAACACTAGGGGAATGGGATTCACTCAACCAATAGCAATTAGGCAAATAAGGAGGAACAAGGGTAATGGAGTAGCAAAGACCACATGCAAGACCAACTTCAAACGATATGAAAACAACTCAAATCACTAAGCTTAGATCCCTCATTAACTTAGCAACAAAAGATACATAATCATATTGTAATAGGTAATGAAACATTCAACTCACATTTCCATGTCGAACCAAACATTTCATGTCATCAAGTTCAATAATCTAGGTTAATTACTCCTATCATAAGGAACAAACAAGCAATCCCATATAATCCATTTTAATCACGATCCATCATCAAAATCACTCCCAAACTCACATAATCACCATTAGGTTGGGTTTCACCCAACCCCTAGCTAAGGAACTACTCACACATCATATTGAAAACCACAAAATCAAAATCTAGGGTTCTATCGTGCTCAACAAACTTGGAATAGTAACTTACTAAAAATAGAACCAACATTCAACAATAATCATCAAAGAACTAAAAGGGATTCAAATAAAAAGGTATAGCATGATAAATAAGAAAAAAAGTAAAGTGGAAGAGAAAAGTTACTAAAATGAAGCTTCAAAATCTTGATTACAAATGTTGCCAAATCTTGATAATAATCTTGATTACTAGTACAAAGATGTCAAAGTTGATGAAATCTAAGCTAAACTCTTAAGAAAATTGTTTTAGACCCAACAAGGGGTGATATTACAAGCCTTTCTCTCAAAAATCTGGATACCCTCATAAATGAGGCAATTAATCTATTTATAATAGTCCAAAACAAAGGGGGCGGAGAGAACAAGAAACTGCTTCTGAAATAGATTGGCACGGGCGTGCCAATTACTGCATGGCCGTGCAGCAGGGTCAGAAGAGCTAAAAACGGTCGTGCAGCCAAGGCAGAAACTTCGACGTTATCAGCAGCTATCTTGCACGGGCGTGCCATCATCAAGCACGGGCGTGCAGCTTTCAGCACGGGCGTGCCAATTCCTGCACGTCCGTGCAGCCATCACAGAGGGCTTTCCCAATCATCAAACTTATTTGCACGGCGGTGCCAAGCATTGCACGACCGTGCACAGCCCCAGGAGGTCTTCAAATTAAAATCTTGCCTAGCCCAAGATTCTTCAAGGCCATGGCTTTTATCCCAACCATCGGGATGTCCCGTAGGGGTCCAAGCATCCCTAAAAGTGCATCAAAACACTAACAAAACCCGTGAAGCATGACAAATATGAAGAAAGTGCGGAAACAGAGCGATAAGAGAGCAAAAATGGCTAGAATATGGCAATAAGTGAGCACTAAATCACCCTAAAATCGCGCAACTAAAGTACGCTGTCAGTATCAAGGCCATGTCTTGGATAAAGAAACACCTATTAAGTCAATGTTGAATATCATATTGAAATTATCTCTAATCGATGTCATTTGAAAGTTGGACGACTAATGATCAAGTGAGATTAGTGTGTAGTATGATTTATAGCACCGTTTCTTGTGCTACAAGGACATGATTGTCATAAATCATCTGCACAGGTATTAGTTCGGAACTATACCGGATCGACCTATGAGAATACTTTAAGATATTTGACAATCCTCATAAGTATATCGCTTATTATGGCTGTCGAAACCTCTTTCATCGACCATGAGTGTTGTTAGTTCTCTTGTTTGGGTACTAATCCGCTTTGATGTTGTCAAACGTTTGCCGTAAAAAAAGGATTATGAAGGCAACATTTGGGCGGCTAGGGCCTCTTAGTAAGGGAAGCTAACAATGCAAGATTGGGAATGTCCCCCTATTAACAATAGGGAACATGTCTTTGTTGTTTACAAGGCCTCTCAAAGAGCGAGACTGTGAAAATGCATGGCCGTGCTTAGATGGATTTTAGAAATCATCTGCTTATTGACAATCAAACTCGAAAATCGAGAAACACTTCGGGACGTAATAAGGATGACTAAAAATCTTACCTTATAGCACATGAAGAGACATTAAGTGACATAGGAAATAGGCTATACACAATTAGCACACTTGTCCAAAAGGACAAGAGGGAGATTGAAAGGAATGGTGTCTTTCGAACAAGTGTATTATTCCGATAGAGGGTTCGGAATTAATTAAAAGCTAATTATTCAGTGAGGTCAAGTGATTTGAATGCCTAGTTGGAGGCCGCTTCCGATCAGTAATATTAATCCATAATTAATATTACAGCTTAATCTTGAATGAACCCTTCGGGTCACACCCAATCGAAGAACCAAACCGAATCGACGAATTAATCCGAAGGATTCTATAAGTCAATAAAGTATTTACGAACAAAGACCTCGAATTCCGAGCTTAGAGCGTCAAAACCGAGCGTCGTAAGTCGAGTTGAATTTAGGAATCGACGAGACAGAAAAATCGACCAAACGACAAGTCATTGCTAGAGCAATATAGCTGGCGAGGTTGCGGAATGGCGAGCTAGCTAGCATCGCTAGTTAGCGGGCAGCATGGGCAACATTGCTAGCGCGCATGCTAGCGTGCTAGCATCAGCCGCACCATCGCAAGCAAGGCCAACAGCACGCATATGCTAGCTGGGCCTTGTGAGTGATAGCAGCAGCTAGCTACGCAATGCTAGCGATAGAAGCGCAGCAGCAACTCGCAAGAGTTTATGGTAGCAACGCCAGCATTCCCAGTAGCAGCCCGCACGCATGTGTGGTGTTCTTGCTAGGCTGCCAGCATACGCGACCAGCTGGCAGGCCCAACCAAGGGGCCAGGCCGCCAGCGAGGCAACCTTGGTGCCCAAGGCAGGCCACTCCTAGCTGGTGCGCCGTGAGTGGTGCATTGTGTGTGTGAGGACCGGTTGTGAGGATTGCTTGGGAAGCAAGGGGTGGATGGTCCCCCCATGTGGTCCTCATCTAACCACTTGCTCTCTCCTTGCCACTTGTCGTTTGGTGATTCATTTGGATATTTAATTTAATTTGGAATTAAATTGAATTCCATTTTGCATTTTTTCCAACTCTCCCACATTGATGGGAGATGAGATTTCTAGGGCTCCTTTTCCTTTAAATACCAATCATTTGGCAATGGGAAGGAG